TACTAGAAAAGAAAGGGGTGGTGTAAAAAAATGGGGGCAAGGGCACGTACTTAGGACCCCAAGAGCCAGGGTTCATTGGAGGACGACCTTGTGGAGCAGCACCATCGACAGGCATGGTAGGGCCGGCGCGTTGCTGACCACGGAGGTGGGGAGGAATGTACGGGGCACGACCGGTGGCATGGCTAGGGGCGTGTTGGGAGTCCTCGAGCGAGAGGCCAGCCATTTTCAAGGAATCAGCCATGATTGAATATGGATCTAACGGAGGGACTGATGTTAGCCGGGGGAAACAGTGGTATGAAAAAATTTCAAGATAAAACAAAAAAAGAACCAACAGACGTAGACGGTCAAATCGGACGGAAAGGGAGCACAACATACTGAGTAACAGATGATTATTTGAAATGTTGATTGTTTTTCTTTTCGCTGTTGTGTCTGGTTTCACAGGGTTCAGCTGCTCGAGAAGACCTGGGACAGGAGTTCAGACAACCGATGTGAAAGGAGAAAAGAGCGACTGAGACAGAAAGCAAGTTTCTCAAAGGGACGACTCTTCTCTCAGACTGTGAATCTGGGGTTGTGTTTGTGAGGGAGACCTTAAAAAAAAGAAAAAGAGAGACAGAAAAACAGAAGAAAAGGTAAATCTATCTCTCTCGGATCTAAAGGTCTAATCACGCGAAGCTGATGGAGAAAGGAAGGAAGAAAGACAATCAAAAGCAAAGAAAAGGAATAACAAGGAGACCTGTAGAAGCTCTGTTTGAGAAAGGGGGGAATGGAGGGAGGATGTGAAGGATGAAAAGACGCGAGTTTGATGGCGAAGAGGTTGTGAAGAAGAAGAAGAAGAATTAAGAACGAAGAGGCGAGAGAAAGGAAGAAAGAAGAGCGAGTGGGAAAATTACCAGCCCGAGCTTGTCCTCTTTGGGACTAGTAGGGCTTCTGCTTCGAAATTTTTTTTTTTCTTCTTCTTTTCCTTTTTCTTTGGTTCCCAGGCAAAAAAAAAATAAAAAAATGCAAAATACCCAAATAAAAAAATTAAAAAAATTAAAAAAATTAAAAATCGAAAAAAAAAATTCTAAAGGGAACAAGAAAAAAGAAATTTTCAAAAAAAAAAAAAGCTTCACCGCAAGCCGAACAACAAATCCTAACCAGCGAGACAACACAGCAGGCGAACGGTGCCTCGGGACTGACAGGTCATCAGAAGTTCGCCCCCAATGCTTGTCCTGCCCCGATACCTGCATCCCCAGCCTACTTGCCCGTGAAATCTCTGTCTCCCTTCAACCAAGAAAATCGCCGAGTTTACCAAGATCGCGGGAGAACACGCCCAGGGGCTCCGCCAGCCTTATCGCGGCGATGGACGCGGCCTCGAAAAGTCAACCTTTCGTCTACGGCCAATGAAAATGGTCACGACAGCGTTGGCGAAAAGCGACTCCTCGTTCGAATCAACTTTCGCCGCCGCGCCCCCCGTCCTTTTGCCACCCCCCGGCATACGTACCGTACATAGTTTTCTTCCACCGCACGCAGCGTCATTGGAGGCAGAACTGGCCAACCGTGATTGGGCGCAGGATTCAAATCTAAGCCTTGGCCGTCTCTCCTTCGCTCGGGTTTTGGGCTTGTCTCTTTTTTTTTCTTTTTTTTTCCGCCCTCTGATTCATCTTCTCAAAAGGACAGATCATAACCATCTGGGAAACCCTCAAAATTATCCCCCAAAAAAAAAAAAAAAAAGAAAAGAAAAGATAAGAAAAGAAAAGAAAAGAAAAGAAAAGAAAAGAAAAGAAAAGAAAAGAAAAAGGAATTAGCGTGAACTGACATAGGCACAACACAACAGCCTGGGTCGGGGAAGGCGTCAGGAATTGGAATAGTTACTGTAACCTGTAACTATGTACTCCGTAGTGAGCCAAAAAAGGTACTTATGATCTCAGAAGACACAGGAGATGGTCCAATTCGAAAAGGCTGGCAACCTCCTCGTATAACTGACTCTAAATGTAGACAAATGCATTTCCGCTCTTTCAATGAGTTCTCACAGGAACAGGACAAACTCTCTGATTCAAGCCTGTTGTAGCACACTGACGAACCTACTGTCCTCCGAGACTTGAACTACCAAAGTCGGTGGCAACCAGTTTGGTGAAGATGCTTTTAGGAGTCTGTTGCCGGCCCCGACCTGGAGATTGGATGCCAACTATGAACCGAGAAAGCCACAGTTGCTTCCAAACGCGAGAATTGCCCGACATGTCCCCAGTTTCTATACGGCTCTGGGTCAATTCGCGGAAAATTTTCGAGAACAAAGAATCATTTATTTATTTCGGCCAAAAATGCTAGTGTGGGCGATGTATATAGCTAACAGGCCTTTCAAAGGGAACTAAAAATTCCGAGCAACAGTCACCCGAAACCCTCGCGAGGAATGTCCCCGGTGTGTACGGAGTGCGTTATGTAGGAACACGCTGCCGAAAAGGTCAAAAAAGGAAAGATGATCCAAGGGAGATAGCTAGAAATAGGATCAAAATAAATATCATCTGTTTCCCTCAAATCCAGCTCCGGCCAACGCTCATCACTTCCTCCCAGAAAGCCCGTCCTCCCATATCGCACACACTGTCCATCCACATCACCTGCACCATCACTTCCTTCAGCTCTTCCCACGTGCTTGGCCCTCCAGAAGCGAGGACTTCTACAAGTTTGTCGGCAAACCACCCCCTATCCGGCGTGTTTCTCGCCGCCATCCCCCCCAGCACCAACGACCATAGCAGCATCTCACCAGCGGGCCCCCAGGCGGTCAACGGCTCCGACTCAGCCAACGCTGCTCTTGTCATCGATGTTATCCGCTTAAACGGTCGGTTTGCGGCCGGAAGTGGGAAGATAACAAGCATGCTGTATATCATTGCCGCAAGGCGACAAACCTCGTATGTCTTGTGGTGCTGGATGGATTGCTCATCTAATTCATAGATAGAGGGTAGTGAGAGGAGACTATATTGGATCCAGTTGCGGCGATCAGCGATGCTGGCCAGCTCGAGGTTTGGGAGGACGCCTTGGGAGTACAGGTTTACGACGTTGCTGTAGTCCCGCATGTTCTGAAGGACATCGCAGATGTTGTACGGCAAGTTCGCCTTAAGGATGGGGTCCATTTGGCCGTCATCAGCCAGCTCGACATCGTTCATCATCGTCGGCCAATGAGGTGTTCGCCCCTCCGCACTTTCTTTGAATATGGGCACAAATGGGAGCCGCGGTCTGACAAGGTATTTGGTTGATAGCATCACAACCGACCTACAGGAGTGAGTGAGTAACCCATGTCTCATATCCTTCATGCGAACAGACGGGAATCACTTACGTTGACAATGTCACCGCTAAGCCAGGCAATTTCATCTGTGAAACACCACCTCTCATCTCAATAAGCGCAAGGAGACCCTTGACATGATGATCGTTCAGCGATAGTCCGCCATACACATCCAGCCACTGGAGGTTGCGCAGTGGTGCTCTCGGCCACGTATCGGGCACGCTCCATTCGGAATAATCAATCCGATTAAAAGCCATACACAACACGGCGAGAATGACCTCGTCCGAACACGCCTGGGATGGGTCCTGCATCATTCTGTTCAACTCTTTGATCGTCTCAGTCTCACAGACAATCTGCTCTAGTTTCTCCTCTCTTGTTTGCGGGAGAAACTGCCCACCCTCGAGTCGCTTTCGCGTCTGCATGTGTCCCGCAGCACCGTATAGAAATGCAGTAAAGAGGGGAGGACTGGTCATTGCCCGGGGCATCCAGTTCTCAGCTGCTTCCTCTCGATCCCATTTTTGGTTTGAAGCACCTAGAACCAGTCCAGGCCAAAGCTCAAAGGCAGCTGGCTGGTAGTCAGCAAAGAGTGGCCAGTGCATACATACATACATACATACATGCACAGCACTCAAACCTTCCCGCCTTATCAACCTCTGCGAGGAAGCCTCAAATACGATAGTGGTCAAAAAGATAGAGAGAGGGCTTGAAGGGTAGAAAACAGACTGACCGTATCGCATCAATTTGCTAATCATCGATTCGCCCAACATTGACGGATATACGTGGGTAGGGTTAGACAGCCAGGCCGTTAATTGGTTAAATGGACCATCGACATGCCTCTGTGTAATTCCCGGGCGAGTATTAGTCCGGGAAACATACGTTGCGCCGCAATCAGGTCGGTGTAATTCTAGGGACAATGGCGAAGCCCTACTCGGGGAGGGCTGAATTGCTTTGTCTTCAGCCTTAGCGGGAGGATCCTCTAATTCTCTAAACGGCGGGTTCGAGGATGGCTTTAACTCGTCGTCCGAGAGTGTAGCTGAACCTTGCGAGGAAGGCCATTTCGGTTGATGGATTACCTGCTTGGAACCGGGTAATGGAGGGTTTAAGACCTTTGCATACGGTTTCTTCGCGCTGCTCTTCTCTGATCGCCCAGCTCGGTGTTGACGCCAGATATACTTACTGGCATGCGATCGGATGACGGTCCGATTATGTGATTTTTGAACCTCAGATATCGGATTGACGCTGACAAAGTGGAAAACCTCTTGGGGCGGCTTGGACGCCTTCACCTGTCCTTCATTCGGTGACGACACAGGCAGATGTTCCAAAGGTCCGAGCTTACGGTTCTTTGATGGCATTGGTGCTCTTTTTTTACCCGAAAGAATCACCTTCCTCGGACGCTGGACCGATGTGGAGCCTGCAGCTAGATGGGGTATTATGTATTTTCAGCGCATATTCCTCCGGAAATAGAGAGGTGAGAGGCAATTGGGGAGCTGCCTATCAACAGCCAACCATGAGTTTCATATCGCTTCGTTCTTGGTGTCCGCGTTGCAGGTTTTTCTGCGACTCGTATATGCTTGCAGGAGTGAAAATCTTCTCACAGCTTGACTATTCCAACGAGCGTTGGACCTGAGCGGAGCTAAGCCACGTGTTTTTCTTTTTGAAAAACTAACAAGCAGGCAACCAAACAAAAAGAAAAAGAAAATTAAAAGACGAGAGCCACGCGCACCCAGCTGCCGGGACGTATGGGATGTCGGGTGTATGTCAATGTGCACCCAGGAGCTCGAGGAGGACCGACGTAGGAGAATGATATGATCAGAAGCAAGGGAGGGCGACGACTTCAAAAATTACAGGGGAAAAGAAAGCACTCAGCAGTCCGTATCGACGGAAGGACGGCTTATGGGCAACTCCTCTTGAGCGGGAGGTATGAAGGCTGTTTAAAACACAGCGGTAAAGCTGTTTATTACACATTGCTGCCATACTCTGCGTAACTGCATGGCAGCTCCTTTCGAGATGTCGCGCGTCGTCGGTCGATGCGGGCGTTCTCTCCAATTTGCTGCGGTGTTACGGACTCCCGTATTGGCGGCAGAGGCAAGCGGATATTTGAGAAATAAAGCAAGCATGCCAAGCAGCCCCCTGGTCTGTCCTAGGCACAGCAGGCCAATGATGGTGTCCATTGGAGTGAGGGAAAGAAAATCGCTCCCGACAAAAACAGCCATTCTGGATCCCATAAGCTGCAGATCAAATGGGTCAAATTCAGACCTGTTGCACGGTGTGTCACCTCTTCTGTCGGCACTTGCACATTGCAGAAGGAAACAATCAAACCAGTTGGTGACCGCCCAAGCGGCTGTTTGGTCGTGTTGACGAGGCTGGTCCATGTCCGTAACCGGGTTTCGGGCGCTCACCGGCGTTTTCTGTCCCATGAGTGTTGACTCGTTACTCGATGGTGCTGATGGCAAATACGATTACATAGTCAAGCTTTCCACAGAGCTTGAGAGCAGCAAGCAGCTGCAAATAGCTATTATCACTTTCTTCAACTCGGTGATATCCTCATTCCGTCTATCTCAAGACCACAGGTCACACTGCATATTCTCCCATGAGAATTGAGAAAGGACTCGGATACTGGCATCTAGCGACAGCAACCAGCAAAGGAAGAAGTCTAAGCAGTGTCTAACTTAACAGCCATGCTTAAGGAAACACACACTCTCGCTTTTTCTCACTTTCTCTCTCTTCTCTCTCTCTCTCTCTCTCTCTGTGTGTGTGTGTGTGTGTGTGTGAGTGTGTGAGAGAGTGAGAGAGTGAGTGAGTGGGTGAAACTGGGGTGGGTTGCAATCATGCCAAACACATCTCAGCTGACTGTGCAGGTTTGCCGTTTCTGCGTGAAGTCTCCTAGAAAGCGAAATATCTCGCACTTTTGTTCTACACTTGGGAATGCGGCCGCCATGTTGTCTTCTGGACAGCTACACAGTTAGTTAGCCAATTGGTGGTCTGGATCTTGTCATTCCATCGCATCCCGCTATAAGGTTTCGGGCAACGTGGGAAGAGCGCGTTCTCCATTCTGGTCCCCAAGTCCTCGACTGGGACCACGAGGTATCGTTCACGAACTCTAACCGACGACGACAGGGGAAAAGATAGTGCATGTAAATCCGTGCATTTGTATTATGCCTTGATGATTACTATTTACAGAGTGGCAGATAGCGTGGATCTGTCGCACAAGAAAGAAAACTCCCCCAACGGGACAACCGTCACTGTGGAGACCTCAACTCCTATCTTCCTCGTGTTCATGCACGGCGGCGCTTGGGAATGCAGGCAGTTGGCTGAGGAGTGCTAGGGCTGGTGCTCGCAGGTTGGGTGGGAGTGCGAGTATCCGCTGGTGGGATGCTAATCGGGACACCGGCCTTGGAGCATTGGTCCACAACGATGTTGGAGACGGCTATAGCCGAAAAGGGTACTATGGTCAGGAACTGCTCTTCCTAAGTAGAGGGCGGGTAACATACAGATGCGGGCTTCAATGTTGGGGCAGGCCTTTTCAACGCAAGGCGTGATCTTTCCTGGAAGTTCGGGCTTGGCGCAGTGGCACTTGAAGTCGGTCAACTTCTCGCACCCGTCGTTGCCGAGAGCATCGATGAAGCACATGAGCTAAAAGACAAGTATCCTGTCAGAGGGTGATCTGTTATATTCAATCGACGGGAGAAGCTTACGGCGCAAGGTGGGATATTTGGAATCTGGGCGCTGGCGATGCCGGCAGCGGCCAAAGCAACGAGGGTGTGAGAGAACTTCATCTTGATTCAAAGAATTGTCAACGGCCAACTGACGACTAGAGCACAGAATCTGAGAGAATAACACTGGCTTGTTCCGCAATCCTTGAGGCGAGCTGGTAAACGGGGGGAGTCGAGGGTCCAGTAGGCTCCTTTTATATCTATTTCAATGCCTGCCTCAGTGTCTCACTTTTGGAGGATAGCGAGCCAAGTTGCATCCGCATGGACCATAGGCTCCAAACACAACCCATCTTCGTCTTCGTTTACTGGTTTACTGGTTTCAATGGGAGTCTATTGGAATTAAGCACGCGGGGGTGGAGCCTCTAAGGGGGAAATTGAATCTTTTCACATGTGTTGTGGCCTCCAGGACCGAGGAGGGAACCAACATGTGTTTCCCGGCGAGAAAGAACAACAAAAAAGATAATAATCGCACCCCCAGATTGCGGGTGCATGTTGGCTGTCAGGGTATGAAGGGCGCACCTTCATGCATGCAGGACGCAAGTAGTCACCAAAACATGGACCTGCTAATCCTACGTCTTGGAGACTATCATCGAATCTCAGGGCAATTGTGATCGTCTCTGCAAATATCCGAGTGGGTGGCCAGCTTTACCAGAGCATTTGGCGGTTTTCCCCGCCTAGTTAATCCTTAAGTTCACTCGGGGCGGAGATGGTACAAGGGGACAGCAGCTAAAACGTCAGCGAAGGTCGAGGCTCGAGACTATGGTTAGTCAGGGCCACGGCCCATCCTTCCCATGGATCCTTGGCCTCCCAATCGAAACCCTCCGCACTATGAAGACGATGTGGAGCACCAGAGGTGACGACGGGTCCAATCAAAGATCATTGTTTGTTTGTGGGTAAGGATCACGGATTCGATTTATTTTTGCCAGGTCCCCTACCTTTGCCCATCGATCGTTGACGATATACTCCGTAGTTATAGTACAACTTAGTTAACCTATCTAGTTACATCGCTCTGCATATAAGCTTGGGAACAGCTCGCGGAGCACGCGATGACTAGATGGCAGCGAACTGGCCATCATATGTAGATCGATTATCGGTTAGCTTCCGAGAATCCTCCACTGCCAGCAAATGCCGATGGCTTGAGTTTTCTCCGCGTTGGCCCGTGTAACTGCTTGCGTATTCCGTACATATATACAAGTTTATAATCATTACTCTAAGTGTGCATGCTATCTTTGTCTAACCCTTGCCTACTTATACTTTATGATCTCGCCCCGTACCCCGTACTCTGGAGTTACTTCACTAAACCAATAATTAGCGCATCTCCCAGATGAATCCATGTAAAACCCTTGCATGAATATGGGAAACAACCCACCATCATGACGCCGAATCTGCCTTCGCCCTTCCAGTCAATTGACTGTAAATGATCCACGGACGGAGTACAGTATCCTTGGTATCGACGGTTGTCAAAGAGAAAAAGGCAACAGGCAAACAATTGTTGACGGGAGTCTGCAGAAATGTACCCGCTTAAAGTTGCTTTCTCTCGAAGGTGGGCGCCACACTATTCGTTAACCGCAAACACTATTATTGTTGAGAATCTCCCATGTGATGGAGCTGAAGAACAAGTCCGGTCAGACATAGTTAGTCCATATACTCTAGGTTGCGGATCCCGCCGTTTCCTATCCACTCCGTAGCCTGCGAGATGGGGACACAGACCAGCTGGGAAGAAACTACAAGAACAAGCGAGTACTCCGTATAATGAATGCATATAACTAGGAAGTCCCACGTTGCTAATTCTACATATGTCTGTGGGCTGCTGAGAAGAGGACTTTGAGGCTGGTAAAACCCTTGACTACTACATATTTAGGTCTGATATACGTAGCACCAGTTCTGCAGGGTGCATATGTATGTAGCAAGAAACATACCGTCGTATCCCACCTACATAATCCTTCAGGGCGACCAACGCCGCACATTACCACGCAGGACATGCGACAAAATCCCATCTGGCGCTGTGGTATAACGAGGCTCAGCAGAAACGGGGTATAACCCTACCAGACTGAAGCCCAAGCATGAATAGTACAGTGTACGGCCGCATTGGCCAACTCTGCTCGTGCTCTTCCGGGTCGGACTCCCACAGCATCGGAAACGTGCATGTGCACTCAACTCCTTTGTTCCGAACAAATGCGTCATCGATCCCTCCCGATCCATCCTTGCTTTGTTTCAAGAGTCTTCTCGGCAGTACTCCAATTTTCTGATTTCTTTGCATCTCAGGTTCTCTGATCTGTGGAGCATAAGAGATGTGACAAGGCTGATGATGCTGATCGTTAGAAATACTAGGATTCACTAGGTCACCGCTTGGAGGGATATCGTATTTGACAGACGGGGAACCGAACCGCGCCTGGACACGCCGTACGAATTGCCCGCATGTGCCTTAACGCTAGGCTTGTAATAGGAGCGTAACAACCTTGTGCCTCTTTAAAGCGAAGCTTTGTCGGAATCATACGGTGTGAGTTCGGTATAGCAGAGACATATGGAGATGGGATTATGAATGCAGAGCTCGACTACATGTGTCGGGCGAACCGCGCATTAGACACGTCATGGCAGTCAATACCATGGAGCATTTAATGGCGCTGAGATAGGAGCGCCATCCCAGCAAATGTGAGATCCGGATGTCGCCGGTCTTGCGGGGAAGAGCTCGCCCGTCAAGGGAGTTGTTGTGGCGCCACAAGCCAGAAATGCAGCGACGGGCTGATATGATGGACACGATCGGATATCGAGGAAAACGGCTAACTGGGACCTGATAATCCAAATCTCCAATTTTGCGCACGTTTTTGCCCCGTTACAGAAGACAGCCATGTGGCTGTGTCTGTATATCGCTTGCTTGAGGGAAGAGCTGGGGAAGGGAATATCATATATTTGATATCCCAGACAAGATCTGCAACCTCCCAACCCTCTAACTAAAATCCTCCTCATAGTTGGTCCAATACAAAAGCTCGGTCGTAAGGGCTAGGTTTGTACCTGAAGTGTCGTCGTCGACCTATCACGAAAGCATCGCTGGTGGTGAGAAAACCATGAGGACCAGTTTTTACGGGTGACACGAAGAAGCATGTGAGATATTCACCTCGCATATTGTGTAAAGCCATACGCCACCAAGCAAGCCCAAGTAAGACTTGTCCTGATGCCCCGCAGATTACCATACCTTGCGGTCCGCAGATGCCAGAAAACACGATTCCCGGTCCAGTTCTGACATCCGAAAAATGCTTCCACCGCGGGCCTGACAATTTTACCATTCCTCGTCTTTGGCGCTGGCGTTCACGACCAAGTCTATCAGGCAGTATTTCACATGTTCGACTTGTGCGGCGGCCTCTACGGATCCGAACGCAACATTCCACCCACACAGGCGGTTTTTGGACATTTTGGGATCATATATAAATTTGATCGCTTCGCGATGTCTGGCTGCCTCACCATCTTGTCAACAAGCTCAATAGAAGCAAAAGGTCACTTGGGTATATGCATGTTGCAAGCGTTATAATTTGCATCCTATAGATGTACCTATCTATATACATTAACCACTTACCCACACGGATAGACGTATCCCAAACCTCATATGGAATTTCTGAGAAGGAAAGCTCTGAATCCATTATTCGAAGGTCGGGGAAATAGGGAACCCTGTTGATTGACTGATGTCTTAATGCCGCTGAGGAGGATTATACATCGGAGTTTCAAAGTAAGTGCGAAATCGACCCCGGTCGCCTTTTTTTTGGACAGGTGAGCTATCAGCGACTCCTGGCGCCAAATGAAAGAAGATAGAGAGGCCAGGTGTTCAGAAAGACTCAGGAGTTATTAATCTAAAGCTCTTTGTCACTACCTTCCGGTTCCACTGGTAGCTCTCCACTTTTGGCGATCTTGACATCCGTCTCAGGCTTGTCTCCATATCCCTTAGACACGTTTTGGATGGAATCAACAACATCATAGCCCTCAAGGACTTCGCCAAAAACAACATGACGGCCATCAAGCCAGCTACATGACGCGATTTAGCTTTTCTCCTGAACGATAAACATCTAGATAGAAAAGTGTGACACATACCTTGTGACTGCAGTGGTAATGAAGAATTGGGATCCATTGGTGTCGGGACCAGCGTTGGCCATACCTATAGGCAGGAGCACGTGGTTAGCAACTTCAATGCTCCGGCAAGGCTAGAAATCCAGAGTCCTTACTCAAAAGGCCCTTCTTGGTGTGTCGGAGCTTGAAGTTCTCATCGGGGAACTTTTGGCCATAGATGGATTTTCCGCCAGTGCCTACAGTTTCGGAAAATTAGCCTGGATTCCAATACTAGATCCGAAAGCAGCCCATGATCACTAACCATCGTGGTTGGTGAAGTCACCACCCTGAATCATAAAGTCCTTGATGACACGGTGGAAGGTAGAGCCTTCGTATCCAAAGCCCTTCTCACCGGTTGCCAATGCGCTGCTACCATTTAGAGTCCGAAAAGGTGTTTCTGGAGACCATACGTTCTTACCGGAAGTTCTCAGCTGTCTATGCAATATGAATTAGCACAGATCATTCTCCTTACAACGCGCCATCCACATTCAGCGCAGCTCACCTTGGGAACGGTCTTGCCGTAGAGCCCCAGAACTATTCTTCCCATGGGCTTATCCCCATGCTCGATATCGAAATAAACCTAGTTATTGTAAAAATGTTGGAACATCGTAGTCTAGAGAGAGGGTGTCAGCATTCGTACCTTGTTGGTGACCTTTGGTCCCTTAGCCTCAGCCCTGGACACAAGCAGGAAGAGGGCAAGGAGGACGATGGAACCCAGCGCCACAAGGCGTTTAATGCTAGACATGGTTGCGAAATTGTAGGATAAACAGCCCAAACACTCTTAAACAAAGCAGAGCAGTCAATTGATAGTTCTGTGTTGGACGGGCGGGAGGAGAGGCCAACTTTCATGGATGGATGGCGGCTTGAAACACGCGGAACAATGTTTCCCCGTTGCAGCCCGCCTTCCAATAACATCCATGGATGGAAAGCGATCAGCAAAGCTTCCATCGCAACCTCAGCCGTCGCATTCAAAAGAGCCTAGAGACAGTTGGATCCAATTCCGCGGGCAAAATGGTAAAGTCATTAGACTATGGCAGTGGTATCGGTCACTAATCTCTCCCGTAGGTTTACATCCTCGGCGTCAGCTTTCCCGAGCGGCAACTCGTCTCTGTACGCAATTTTTACACTCTTCCTAACCCACTAACCCGCCTTCAATGTCCTAACTCGACTTCATAGAAATCCCTCCTATCCTTCTTCGGAGTTGGCCCATCCGTGTGCGCTCGCCTCATGGCCCGCCATAATGTGCACCCGACCGCGAGAATTGGCGACCTAGCGAACAAGCAAGTCCTCGACATAACTTCAGCCCTATCCAACATGAAGATCGAGAACGACCTCCGTCGAGAGATTCTGGATAATATTCGACGTTTGAAGGATACGGGAACATATCGTGGAAGGAGACATGCATTGAACCTTCCAGTGAGGGGACAGAGAACGAGAACTCAGGTCAGTCTTGCAAACTATTATGCAGCTATTGATGCCCTCTTTTGCGTCGATTGTCCAGGCTGACGAGATCCCAGACCAAAACTGCCATTAAACTCAATGCTATTGAGCGGAGACTATGAGGGCATAAAATGAATCGAACGTGTGTATATTTTCGTGTTTCTATACCTAGGACTTAAGGCGTTGGAGCGGCGTTCGAAATTCGGACATGTACAGTACAAATAGATGGGATGAGTTTATGCAAAATTAGGACCGTCTGCTCAAAATCGCTGAAAAACACAAGAGTTACAAAAATATATATTTCTTTTTGCATTACGAGCGGCCGTTGGATCTGGAAAGCCAACTTATTAGGCAGTCTTCGGGACAACCCCCTCTCCACGATTTATCTGAATGACTTTGTCCTCACCCACGCTCACAATTCCAACTTTCTTATCCCAACAGACATCAAACACCTTCACTCCATCCCCCCCTACCCGCTTGCCCTCACCTGCGCTCTTTCTAGCAATCGTATATATGCTCTCACTCACCACGCCGTCTGTATCTGTTTTCGTAGATCGAATATCCCAGATCCTGGATGTACCATCGTGACTTCCACTTATTAAGCCGTATGTACTGTCTGGATCCCTGGCAAGACATACAACAGCATTGGTATGCCCTCGCAGCGTCATCGCGGACACTGTCGTAGCCGAAGCCCGAGGGTCAATTAAAGTAACATGTCTGGCCGCCGAGCCCGCAGCAAGAAGGGTGTGTTCGGGGAGGTGCTGGGCACACAGTAAAGAGTGAGAAGTAGTGCGAGTGTCAACTAGGGCGGCAGTGACAAGGTCCCATGTGCGAAGCGAGTGATCCCAGGACGTTGAATATCCGACTGTGGAATCTTTGGCGTCGAAGATTGCAGCGGAAACAGGAGCAGTATGACCCTTGAGCAAAGCTAATGGTCCGCGTTGGGAAGTGCTCGCGGAGGAGTTTAGTTTCCGTCGCTTGGAGCTTCTCGCTGAGCTTGAAGGGAGCAGATTCTGAGGCACAGCTGGGGACTCGGACTTTTTCGTGGACCAGAACCCAACAGTATGGTCCGCAGACGCCGACAAAATCCGGTTTCCATGAACCGCTATCGAATCCACACTGCCTTTGTGACCGTAATATTCGATCTGCGGAGTTATCCCCTTTTCTTGGTCTGTATATTTCCACAATCGCACCGTCCTGTCTATTCCTGAAGACACGATCTGACTCGCCGACAAAAATCTCACGCACTTAATCGCACTCTGATGCCCTCCATCTTTCGCCGACGCCGACGTATGAATAATCTCTGACGACATATTCCACACCCTCAACAGTCCGTCATAACTCGCCGATATAATCCTCTCTTCATTTTGGCTGTCACTAAGCACGTCCACCGAACTTACCCAATCATCATGTAAAAACGATGCAACATGCAATGGCGGAATAAGCGCGCGCACGTACTCGACATCAAGGGTTGTTTCGGCTGATATACCGTTCGCCGTGAGAAACTCATCAACGGAAGTGCGAAGGTACGTGCCGTTTATAAGAAATTCTAGCGGAACGGGCTTTTCGGTAGCGAGGAGGTTGTTAACAAGGGTAGAAAGAGCATATCTTCGTAGACCTAAGTTTATTCTGCATGAGAAACGTTTTCTTCTAGATTTTCATCTTTTTTCCTTCTCCAGTTGCGCGACTTCGTACCTGTAGGGACGAGGATAGGCCCAGTTGACTCGGGAAGCGCAAGATCTTCATCTCTGGTGCTAAACCTGAGTCTTGCTTGTGTCTGCGCAGTCTGTGACTGTACCTCTAAACTCGACTCCTCCGCCATCCTTATTATTGCAAGGTCAGTTTTTCTTTTTTGTTTATCTGTTGTTGCAGAGTCTTTTGCGCAAGACTGCAAAATTGTTGACCGGGAAATTTTTGTACGGTGGCCGAAGCGGCAAAACGTGCAATTCCGATTATGGGCCTACCCAAGTTAAATCTAACAGAGAATAAAAAATGAAGCCACAGATACTGCTTATTTACGGGGTAAAAGGTCGGAATACCAGTATATATATATCCTATTTTATTTATGGTTCTAAGATACACCAGCAGTCCGCCGTATCTCCGCAATCGCCCGCTTCCTATGGTCCGAGTCTGCAAAAAGGGCTTTGATCAAATCAACCAACTCATCCACATCGAACTCCAACTTCAATTCTCCTTCAGTCCACATGTACTTGATATCCGCCAGAGAACTCTCAAGGATATTTATTAAATACTGGAACTTCAGCCAATTCGGAACGTACATGGCCGTCATTGGTATCGCTTCTGGCTGGTTGGCGGCATTGGGATCTGTGCTAGGATCAGGAAGAAATAGATCCTCTAGATTGGACAGACTGGTGCAGAATTCAGCCAGTCGCCGGGACTCAGCGTCTGAAATGTCGCTCAAATCTTCGATATCTAGTATTAATTTGTTTATCGCTGCCGATATGAGTCTTCCCATTGATTGAAGGAGGGCAGAGCGGGATAAAATTGGTTGCCACTCCTTGTATACATCTCTCACTCTGTCGACTGCTGCAGCCATTGCATTTTTGCACTCTCCCAGAAAGGGCTCTTCAGAACAGGTTGAAAATCCCTGACAGCCATCAAGAAGATCACTTAAGATAGTACGCTGCGACTGAAGCTCCTTTCCGTATGCTGCCTTGCCAAATTTCTCGATAGACTCAACATCCGAGCTTAGCTTGGGGAGATTTTGGGCCTCTGAAAATGAACGTAGTTTTTCTGCAAGATACATGCAATCATTATATAGGTGCATCTGACCGGCATCGAACCTATGAGAGTAGAGTACTGGCGCCGTGGCTTTGAACATTGCAACAATCAATGTAGGCAATGCAAGTAGAGCAGGCCGCGAAGAAGCCAGCTTCAATTGAGAGCTCCTGACCTAATTAGTGGATTAAGCAAGTATATATAGGATGATGGAGTCTCACCCTAAATTTGTCAAATCCTCAGCGTCGGCGACTTGGTTAGATATGATAGTAAGAATACGATCTGGTAAATCTGTTACGGCATAGTACTCCTTCAAAATCAACTCCCGCTGAGAGTCTTTGTGATCACCGCCATGTCCCTTAGCTTGCGAATTTAGTTCAGAGCTCGCTTCCGGTTGAGCAGCCGCAGGAGGCTCTTCATTGTCGTCATCCCAATCCCAAGACTCGTCAGCGTCGTCTTCGTTTCCGGGGTCTGCTTGGTTTTCCGTTTCTTCCGAAGTTGTTTTAATGGTTGTGCTCTTTAGGGTATCTTCGTCTTCGTTGTCACTCCATTCAGCATTCCAATCATCCTCACCATTTCCTTCAACGAGCATGCCGTTGTCCCCGGATACATGCTGCTTCTCGATTCTTTCTACCTTCCGGATTTTCCCAGTACTATGGGACATAGCCAGTCGCACATCATTCAAGGCCTTGGACCGTCGTTGGCTAAGCCACAGGCGGGGAACTTGTCCAACCCAGGCACCAAGCCCTTCCAGTCCTTGCCAGCCTTGCTTTTCTAAATCTGAAACAAATCGATGGATCCGGTCCAGTGTTCCCTGGAATGGCTCAAGCGAGGAGACTTCGCTTGGGACCGAAGGTGATAGCCACTTTGTTGTCAATGGTGAAACGATGGTACCGGCGAGGGTGGTGAAGAGGCATTCAAGGATGTTAGAGGGCAGGTTTTCTTTGAGATACGAAAATGCCGATAGTATACTGTTTAGCAAATCTGAAAGTAGTGGTCGCGATGGGGCCAGGACTAGTCGCAAACAGTTTCCATCCACAGAGAATATGCGCCATTGGCCTGTCTTAACGGGGAAGATGACAGGCCGAAGGATGTAGTTGATCAGATCCTTTTGAAAAGAACTGACAACATCGTCCAAAACTTGTAACCTGGTCAATCCAGCTAAAATATCGGGAAAATGATCTGATCTGGGAGTAAGCAATAGACATGTACAGTGGCTTAGCCTAACATACCGCTACTGTGTATGGTGATTGTTGGCTGATCTGAGGTGGCATCGATTTTGATCAGAGTGCTCCATTCGGCTCGAAGGGCATTGGAAATACCGGCATGCAGCTGCGTGACTTTTGTGGACAATAAACCGACGATATTGCTGCTTTGGGGAAGCTTGCTACTGGCTAGTGAATCCCCAATATCGTCCAAAAGATCAATAGATCTTATCCATTCACCGCGATCAAGGGCTAATTGTGCATTTGCAAGTTTATTGTCAATCAAGCGCGCTTGCCCCAGTGTTTCTAGTATAGCTTCATTCGACACAATGTCCTCATGTAGTTGGTCAACCGCGGATTGCGCATCAGAGACCCGGTCACGAAGCGCTCGTCCCTTTTCGTGTAGTGTAACAATTTCTCTAGCGGTCAGCCGAGAGCGTTCTATATCCTGATGCAGCTTTTTCGCTTGCACTATCCAGTCGTCTATATTCGTCGCTGTTTCTCGGCTGAGGGTCGATATTTCATTCTAATTGAGCGGGAGCATTAGTGTTGGGCTTCCCAAAAATGGCTGTGTTAGAACGCACCTCAATCTCTTTCTTGGCCGTTGTTATCTCTTGCAGCTCAGTCGGGATGATCTCTAGAGGAAATTCGGTCGACACGAGGTCTTCTGAGTCGGGGAACTTCCCGTCAGTGATGAACCTGAGCAGCGCTTGACATATGGCATCGCTGGAGGGACTGGAAGCCATTGTGAATATAAATCACTATGCTCATTCAACCGGATAAACAATCAATGTTGGAAATCATCTGCCCCTGACTGTATCAAAGTTAAACATCATATTAATGCATCCCATCATGAACCTGCTCGGGCCATCAATAGCTGCTGGCGCTGAGGACAGCCAAGCATTCTGCGCCGCTTTGTCTGTTGGCAACGCCCAAGCCTGGGATGTGGTCACATGTTGCAGCTGACTCACTGCTTGGAGGTCAACTGTCACTCAGCCCAAGCTCTCGGCGGGCTGCCTTCTCACGAGATAAATACTCCATAAAACAAACACATTTCTATCCATCCTTAATATTGGCGCATAGGCCCTGGTCTTCAGCCTTGTGTCTGGCCTCTATCTCCTTTCAACCGCTCTCCCTTTTGCCTCCCCAACTAACTATTCTACTTCCCCATCTCCCTGCTGCTTCATGCACCCCGCACCTCTTCGGTACCTACCTAAGCTACGGAGTATATTTTTGTCTTAACAATTAGAAAGAAGTCAACTTGGATGCTTTGGTCCACCATAGTTACTAGGCATTAATAGTTGATAAGAGACCCTTTCAAGTAAGGAATACACTTCTATCTCATCGCCTTTCTGCGTTCAAATATCTCATTGGATCCTGCACAGCGCCTGTTCCCCTCATTGATCGTGTTCACTGTTCTGCGCAGCGCAATCCTCTATTTTCTTCCCCTCGCCTGCAAAACCCCAGTTGCACAATTCATTAATGGATTCAAGGGTACAGGACCAAACCACCCCTTTGTGTTTTCATTTTGTTCTTCCTTATACCTTGTCTCTTGCGTCATTATGTCACAGGCAGTGATATGACCCTTTTCTGCTGACTGAATCTGCTAACAGTCAAACTAGCTTATCCAAAATCTCTACCTATCTCCTTCGTCAAATTTCTCTAGAAGGCCCTGAGGGTAGTTCAACAATGGGATCTCACAATGGTGGTAGAAGCTTTTTTCGCCGGCTTCAAAAATTCAAGCCAGACTACTCTGCTAGCACTTTTACGCACTACGAGTCTGAAAGGACTGGAATGAGAGCCGTGGTTATAGATCAAAAGGGACCCAAGGTCTATGGATACTTTGTGCTTGCAACGGAGATTCATGACGATTCCGGCTCACCCCACACCCTAGAGCATTTGTGCTTCATGGGCTCAAGAAATTTCCGATACAAGGGCTTCCTTGACAAGCTGGCTACCAGACTCTATTCTGACACAAACGCGTGGACTGCCACCGACCATACGGCCTACACTCTCGATACTGCAGGATGGGAAAGTTTCTCCTTGATCTTGCCAATATACCTAGAACATATCATCGCGCCCACACTCACCGATGCTGGATGCTATACCGAGGTATATCATATTGACGGTACTGGCCACGATGCAGGGGTGGTATACTCTGAAATGCAAGGCGTGCAAAATCGCTGTTCTGAATTGATAGATTTACGATGTCGTAGACTGCTGTACCCAGAAGGCGTAGGCTTTCGCTATGAAACTGGTGGAATGATGGAGCAGCTCCGAGTTCTCACAGCAGAACGCATTCGTGCTTTCCACAAGGAAATGTATCAGCCAAAAAACCTGTGCCTGATCATTGTCGGAGAAGTGGACCATACCGATCTTCTCTCTGTCCTGGATAAGTTCGAAGATACGATTCTGGACGTTATTCCTAGCCCTAACGCTCCCTTCCAGCGCCCATGGGTAGAATCTACTCCAACACCGCCCCTTCAAGCGTCTGTCATCGACACCGTCGAATTTCCAGAGGAGGATGAGTCCTTTGGTGAAATCGAGATCCGATTTCTGGGGCCAGATTGCAATGACCGTGTGCAGAGTATGTATCTTATCTTATACGATGACACATTGACATCTGTTAACAGGAAATAGGTGCCGCACTTAATGTCGCATTATTGTATCTTGCCGGGTCATCAGCTGCGCTCCTAGAAAATGTGCTAGTCGAAAAAGAGCATGTTGCTACGGCGGTTTACTATATGACAGATGAGAGACCTCGGACAGAAATCCGCTTTACCCTAACTAGCGTTGCGACTGAAAGTTTGCATGATGTGGAGCGCCGATTCTTTGAAGTCCTTAGAGGAGCTATGCAAGAGCAAATTGACATGAAATACATGCGCGAGTGTATCCAAAGGCACAGACGTAACTGGAAATTTGCGACGGAGAACTCGGCATCCTCGTTTGCAGACTATGTCGTAAATAGTTTCCTATTTGGCGACAAAAACGGATCCAGACTTCTCGACGTCGCAACCCTGCAAGAGTACGAAGAGTTGGAGTCGTGGCATGACAATCAATGGCGAGGATTCATTAAGCAGTACATGGCGGACGCTCCCCATATTTCAGTGCTTGGTGTTCCCTCCGCGAAGCTTGCCGCCAAATTGAAAGCTGATGAAGAGGCGAGAATTGAAGAGCGAAAGCGACAGCTCGGAAAGAAAGGATTGAAAGAACTGGCTGATAAACTATCAAAGGCAAAGGCTGAAAACGATAAGCCAATACCCCGTGAAATCCTGGCTAAAATTCAGGTCCCGGATACGGATTCAATCCATTTTGTCCATACAACAACGGCTAAATCAGGCCATGCGTTGAAAGGAGGGCGACCTAACAACAAAGTCCAGCAGTTGATAGACTTGGACGGTATGGATTCGCCGATGTTCATCCATTTCGAGAATATAAATAGCAATTTTGTCCAGTTCTCCTTGGTGATTTCCACTCAAGGGGTGCCCGTAGAGCTCCTCCCCTTGCTGTCGGTCTACATCGAAACTTTCTTCAGCCTTCCAATTGACAGAAATGGTGAGCGTGTCTCGTTTGAGCAGGTGATAGTTGACCTCGAAAGAGATACTGTCGGATATACCATGGACGGCAGCCCTGGAAATTCTGAGATGCTGGCAATAACATTTCAGGTTGAGTTGGAGAAATATGAGACTGCTATCTCATATCTGAAAGAGCTAACATGGAATTCGATTTTTGATCCCGAACGTCTCATTGCCGTTACGACTAGATTATTCTCGGATGTTCCGGATGCAAAGCGAAGTGGAAGTGGCATGGTCGGCGGCGTTCGTTATATGGTCCAATACGCTCCAGAGTCTATTGTTCGGGCGAGGTCAACATTGGTGAGAGCTAAGTACTTGAAGCGCATCAGCAAACTTCTTGCAAAGGATCCAGAGAGCGTTGTGCAGCGGATGGAATTGATCAGAAAAGCCCTATTCCAGCCCGAAAATCTGCGAATCCTTGTCATTGGTGATCTGGAAAGACTCCCAAATCCGGTTTCATCATGGAAACCATACATTGAAGGTCTTGATATGTCAAAGCCGCTGCTGCCTCTCGTTAAACAAAGTGAACGGCTTAGCGACGCTGGAAAAGCACCTGGACAACTTACATACATAGTACCGATGCCAACTATTGATACATCTCACGTGAATGCAAGTGCCAATGGGTTGAATTGCTACGATCACCCTAAACTGCCGGCACTTATGGTCGCTATTGCTTACATGAATGCGGTGGAGGGCCCCTTATGGGTGGCCGTGCGAGGCACTGGTCTAGCCTACGGGGCGAGCTTTAGGCATAATGTTGAAACTGGCCTTATCCACTTCAACATTTATCGCTCACCCAACGGTTTCAAGGCATTTGAGGCAGCAAAGAAAATCGTGGATGATCATTTATCTGGAGTCGCAGTGTTGGATCCCATGATGTCACTTGAAGGTGCCATCAGCACCATTGTGGCCGGCTTCGCGAACGAGCAAGCCACATATATTCTTTCAGCACAGGAGAGCTACATCCGACAGGTAATTCGGAACCTTCCTCCAGATTATAAGGAAGCTCTTTTGAAGAAAGTACGGGCTGTCACCATTGACCAACTGAAGGAATCACTCCGAGAGATGGTCTTCCCAGTTTTTACCCCTGGTAGCTCAGATATTGTGGTAACATGTGCTCCTGTACTTGAAGAGGTAACTTACTCCCTTTCTGGCGGAATGAGCACTGTATGCTAACATGCACACCAGAGAATTAAAACCGGATTTGAATCTCTAGGGTTTAAACCGGAAGTGCAGCCTCTAAAATATTTCGAAGATGACTATGGACTACAGCTGGACGACGAAGAAGAGGACGAGGACGAGGACGATGAGGATGGTGGTTTAGACAGTGACACTGGAAGTGATGAAGACGAGGAATAGGCGCATCGAGACCATGGATGACATGAAGATAGAAGGAACAAATGCATAAATTAGTTAGCTAGCAAACAAATCACGAGAAGAAAGCCAGCGATGTGGTGTGCATATTATCATAAGATGAATACTGCATATGTAGCTTGTGCTCTGTACTCCGTAGAGCGAGTCGCTTCGTCGAGATTCTGTTTTCGGTTTAGCAGCAAAAAGTCGCAGGCAAGCTGAGCCCCACTAAATCCAGTCACTTTTTTGCCATTCACAGACCTCAACCAACATCCCCAAAACCACCTTTTCACGCAACCAACACCCTCCCTCCCGGGCTGCCCTGACACACAGCTTGCGACCTACTCTAGATCTCCCGCAATCATGGCGCCAATGAGTGATTATTCTGAGGACGAATCCCAGCCGGGCTCACCTGTGCTTGGTGCCGCTGACCGGAACGGAGTTGAGCAGGATTTTGACCAACACGAAGACGACCTCGAAGATCAAGAGACCAAACCACTCAAGTCTGCATTGAAAAAGCCCTCATACGCTCCCCCAACATCCGCAGAGAAGAAGCCAGAACTCCCAGAGCAGCCTGACCCAGACACCTTGGACCTATCCAAGCTCACTCCCTTATCACCCGAGATCATTGCGCGACAAGCAACAATCAATATCGGCACGATTGGGCACGTCGCTCACGGAAAGTCGACGGTGGTGAAGGCCATTTCTGGGGTGCAGACTGTTCGATTTAAGAATGAGCAGGAGAGAAACATTACCATCAAGTTGGGTTATGCGAATGCGAAGATTTACAAGTGTGATAATCCCGACTGTCCGCGCCCGGGGTGCTATAGGAGTTTTAAGAGCGAAAAGGAAGTCGATCCGCCGTGTGAGAGGGATGGCTGCTCAGGCACATACCGTTTACAGAGACATGTTTCGTAAGGATCCCGTCGTTCTACATTGCGACCCCTGCGTTGCTAACGCCTCTCCAGTTTCGTCGACTGTCCCGGTCACGATATTCTCATGAGTACTATGCTTTCAGGTGCCGCTGTCATGGATGCAGCGTTACTTCTGATCGCCGGAAATGAAACCTGCCCCCAGCCACAGACATCTGAACATTTGGCTGCCATTGAGATTATGAAGCTTAACCACATTATCATTCTGCAAAATAAGGTCGACCTTATGAGGGAAGAAGGCGCTCTCCAGCATTACCAGTCGATATTGAAATTCATTCGCGGCACAGTTGCAGACGGATCTCCCATAATTCCTATCTCGGCACAGTTGAAGTACAACATTGACGCTGTCAACGAGTATCTCTGCACACACATCCCCGTCCCCATGCGTGATTTCACCGCATCTCCTCACATGATTATCATCCGTTCCTTCGACGTCAACAAGCCCGGATGTGAAATCGAGGACTTGAAGGGTGGTGTTGCCGGTGGTTCCATTTTGACCGGTGTATTGAAGCTTAACGATGAAATCGAGATCCGGCCCGGTATCGTCACAAGAGATGAGCAAGGCAAGCTCAAATGTCGCCCAATTTTCAGCCGTGTTATATCTCTTCTCGCCGAACAGAACGATCTCAAATTCGCCGTTCCTGGTGGTCTTATTGGTGTCGGAACAAAAGTCGACCCCACTCTCTGCCGTGCCGATCGTCTTCTTGGTTTCGTTCTTGGTCACCGTGGTAAACTTCCTGCTATCTACAGCGAACTCGAAGTTAATTACTTCCTCCTACGTCGGTTACTTGGTGTCAAGACTGCAGATGGCAAGCAAGCCAAGGTTGCTAAACTGTCGAAGAACGAAGTTCTCATGGTAAACATCGGCTCTACTGCTACTGGTGCTAAGGTCATGGGTGTGAAGGCAGACGCTGCGAAATTGAGCTTGACCAGTCCCGCTTGTACGGAAATTGGCGAAAAGATTGCCCTTAGTCGAAGAATTGACAAGCATTGGCGTTTGATCGGATGGGCAAATATTGTCGCGTAAGTAGCGTCTGCGTGCTTGTCTTTAATCATATGCTAACTACCGTAACAGAGGAAATACCCTTGAACCTATTCTCGAGTAAATTAACACGTTCTCCCGTTAGCCCTTTCGTATAAACAAGAGGGCAAATATGAGCACATTTGATCGGTGTGGCAGAGATGTGTGTTTAGATGTCAGAAACCCCATTTTTGTTTTAGGCCATCAAAAAAAAGTATCATAATCATGGGAACATGCGGTTCGAAAATTTATTGCACGCTTAGCTTTCTACCCTGGATTTTTTATCTCCTTACCAATTTCTATCAGGATGACGAAAATGCCCGTTGCTTTTTTCTTTTCATTTCCAGTTTCTATGATTCTTGTTGCCGTTGTCCGTGTTCAGGTGGCTTTCTTTCTTTTCTTTTTTTTTTTTTATCCCGTCTTCTCTTCCTGCGGCTTATTTACGGCATAGATAAAGTTTGCCCGGGGTGGGCTCATGGTAGCTACGTATTAGGCTCTTGAAATGCAATGTGATGATGATTGATAAAAGTAGTTTTGACATCTATAGTACATACACATCTTGCACGCGAGTCCATAGCCACTGATACAGTAATAAAACAACCAAACGGTACGACGGGCGTGCCCGGTGGAATCCCGGCGAAGAGGATATGGATCTCACCATGGCAATGTGAAGACGGGTGTGCTTTTCCCAATCAATGCCTGCCGCGATTCCACCACCTGGGACTCGAGTAAAATCGTACATAGTGCACACAAATGAGGAGACACACTCCGCATCAGGTTTTAAGGCAATCCTCCTCTACCATCCCTGATAAAACCCACAAGATCAGCCGCGGCACATACATCCAATTTACCAAGTTAGATATTTCCGTCCTTTGGACCTTCTCCTCGATAGGATATTTCGCCCGCCTCTACACCGCAATCTCGCTAGAAACCCATGTCGACGTTTTTGAACTCTCCGAGACGGATTGTATGTGTTTCGTTTTGCTCCGAGAGCGGCAGTGGTGGAGAACTGGCGGGAAGCGCTTCCTGGAGTGGAGAGCAGGAGTGATGAGAATGGAGTTGAGAGCGGGGATTGTGTCGTCGTGCGCGTAGGAGGGAAGAGTGAGCGGAAGGTTGAGAACGTGGCGAAGGATAGGGACCGTGCTGGTTGGAATGGTGATCGGGGTACGGTTTGTCTAATGAAGCCTTAGTTAAACGTGATAGTTCAGCTTGCGGAGGGGACAGAGGCCTTACGATAAAGCTGTTCGAGAAATCCGGTCCACAATTCGTCTGGTAGGACTGAGGTTGAAGGACACCGTCCTGCTGCCACGGAGGCACATCATTTTTAACACTCGGTGTTCTCACTCCCTGGATTCTCGTATTGACCTGGAATCAGTCGACTTCTTCTCTGAGTTTAGACTGAGATTCCGTGGCTAAGCAGATATCAGTATCAAATTCCAGTGACTCTTGCGCCAGAGGTCGGGCGGTTGAAAAAGAGACTACCAAGATTCGCAGCGCACGGACCACCTCCACTAATTTCTCCGGGATATTTTTTCTCTCCCCAGCACACTTGACTGACGAACAACTCGGATTCGGCAACAAGATACCAATTGGACATCGATTTCTCCTGATTAAGTGACAATGGTATTCCAAGCTAATCCCAATCCTCTCCCGCCAACCCACATAAACTCCACACGCCGCATCAGCCCCTCCGATGCTCATGCCTTCCTGTCCGCATATCTCGACCGCGCAGCGACCGACCCATCCTACCAACCAGACAGTACTCTATCTGCACACGGTCCTGTTTCTGCAAACACCGGCTCAGCACCCAACCTTGTGATTCACAGCTTAAAACGCGTCTGCGCCGGACTCGGGGGTGAGGTTTTGGGGAGAGACATTGTTTTGGAGCAACAGTTGCAGCAGGGCGATCAGGGAGCGAAGAATTTTACGGACGGGGAGGATTGGGGAGGCAAACCAAAAGGAAAGAAAGCGCCTGCTGGTGAGAAGCGGGTTGACGGGTGGCAGGATCTGGAGAGTTTCGAGAGGGAGCAGCTTGACTTGGTGGATGGAGGTGATGGAGATGAAGAAGAAAATGTTGGGCCTACGGTCGCTGAAGAAAATGTGGGCGTTGAGGATTATGACATAGCGGTGAAAGAGGCTACTATTGATAAGGAAGAGCGCAAACGAAAGAAGAAGGAAAGGAGAAAGGCGGAGCAAAGAGCCAGGGCTTCTGCTGCGAGCTAAGAAAAAAAAAAAATTCTACGCTGATCCATGACAAGCACCACGACGCCGCAAAGCCAGCTGTTATTGGTAAGTATCCCGTCCGGAAATCCAAAACCAAAAAATATGGAAAATTGGTCCCCAAGAGGTAGCGGGAACGAAGTTTGATAACGAGTGTTTCTTATAGCTCCCGATCAGCTGCCTTGACAGGCTTCTCCGAGTCTTCACTTTTGGCAGTAACCTTTCCTCCCTTCCAGCCAAGAGCACCAAGTCTCTCGGGTAGAATAGGATGCGAATAATGATAGCTGGCATACATCCAGTCTGCATCCATAGTCGAGAGATTTTGAATTTGGAGCTTCAGAAGCGACCTGGCCAGTTCGGCTGAATAGCCAAGCTTGACCGCAAACGCGTCTGCAAAAAAGAAAATTAGCCTCGACAGCCGAATTTGAACGGCAACTAAGAAGACGTACCAGCCTCGAACTCGAACTTTCGGCTGAGAATATTCATCAATAGCTTGACAATTGCATCCATTGGTGCCAATGCATCCGAGAACAAGAGGAAACCGATCATGATTGGGTATTCATTGTGGAAACCAAACGAGTTATACAGAGATTTGTTGCTGATGAAGGCGGAAAACAAGGCGAAAATATAGAACATGTGGAACTGAGACCTGTTAGCGAGAACATTAGGGTGCATTTGCGTTGTATATACATACCTGGGCGATTCCGAATAGCTTGGTCGTATGGCTCAAACTCCAGTGTCCAAGTTCATGACTCAGGACAGCCACAACCTCCTCAGGTTCGCTCTTCTCAATCAAGGTGTCATAGATGACGATGTGCTTCTTCCAGGGTAGTCCATAGAAATATGCGTTGCTGTGAGCGCTTCTTTTGCTTCCGTCGATAACGTAGAGCTCCTTGAGTGGGAACTGCAGTTTTTGTGCGAGAGCTTCCACGCCAGTCTTCAGAGTGCCAGGTTCCAAAGGAGAGAGCTTGTTGAATAGGGGTAGGATAGCAATTGGGTAGATGGTAATGGCGAAGAGCTGAACGAACATGCCAAACAACCAGAGGTAATAGAAGAAACTAGTGCCTGTTTTTTGGACGATTTTCAGAATGGCGCTGATGATCGGAGCACCAAGAACAACACCGAGCATTTGTCCCTTGAGCATATCCGAAACCCATAGTTTGACTGTCTGTTTGTTGAATCCGAATTTTTCCTCGAGAACAAAAGTGCTATAGTACGAGACCGGGATAGAGAGTAATGTTGTGATGAGGTTGAACATGAAGACAAAGACCAGCGTATGAGTTATTTCACCTTGGAACCGTTCAGGAAGATACCGTGTCAGCCAGAGACCAGTGACAGCCCAGAGTTTCGGGAGTGCATCGTAGTAAATGAAAGCGAGATTCTGAATTTGACTATAAAGCCCGGAGACGAAACCGAATTTGGCCTTTGCTCGACCATATGCCTGACCTAAGGTTAGTATGGTATAGTTCTATTGCGAACATAGGGCGGAAGGCAATAGTAAAGGCGAGGAAACCCTCAAGACGAACCTGACTCTTATCGAATACCTCTTGCGAAACCTCGCCTTCGAGAACCTTGGGCGGTTTCTTCTGTTGCAAAATCCTGTATTGGCGAAGGGATAGAAATCCCTCAAGAAGATATTGCCCAAGCGAAAAGCCGACAATTATCTTTTTCCATGGGAAGAAAGGCTGATCAAGCAGCCGGGCAAGTTGCTACACCAAGCACATCAGCGGGAGATACAGCGTGAATTAACTGGCAAATTTGAACATACCTGAAGGATATACATGGCTGCAGCGCAAATCGACTTTTCGCGGTGCTTGCACAGAACTTGCCGTTCGTCCTCTTCAGCCCGGCCCCGAACGGTGACGATGATGCCAGGTGGTTTGAACAAAGACAGTGCGACTTGGGACACGGCGCAACGCCTCCAGCTCCAAAACCCGCTTTAGTTACATAAGCCGGCCCCCGGGGACTGTTTCTCCGCTCGGGTTGACTATACCATTTGGAGGCTGTTTCTCCGCGGCCCGAAATGTGAATTAGGTAAGGTTGGAATTGACTCTCGACGGTAGTTAGTTAACACTAACTCCCTTACTGGTCTTGTTACAATGCGAGCTACCAAACGGTGCGGGAGGGAACTGGATCCAGTTACCGGTCGGGAATTGATAGACGAAATATTTTATATTATCATTCCCTTTCGTCATTGCTCAGCTTTCGCTTTCTTCACCACTTGACTCAGACTCGTCAGCCTCTTCATCGCCCGACAGTCCACTAAACTCATCATACAACTCCTCGTCCCGTTCCGCTTTCGCCAGCACGAATGCTTTCAGACACGTAATTCTGTTTCCGGTTTCATACGTTCCCAACAATCGCCCAACATCCACCGGCCCGTGTCCTTCTCCGCTGGCTTGCTTTTCCTTCTTTTTCCTTTTGCCCTCCGCCCCTCGAGATTTCTCCTTGCTACATAACTCCTTCGGATCCAGGACCCAGAGCTTCACCATCCCGTCACTTCCAGCGGTGACGATGATTAAAGTCCGTGGATGCCCCAAGGCGGATTTCGTCTGTAAGAATTCGAAATCCTTTATTCTCGAAGATTGACCTTTTTCTTTTCCGCCCAACTGGCACCTCAACTGCGCAGCAGCAATTGAAGACTTGCCGTTCGATCTTTCACCTTGCTCCAATGAACCGCCATCGGTAGAGTAGAACAAAATTCGACCGTCCTCTGTGGATACGGCGAGAAGCTCGCGGGTGCTGGACTCCTCTGCATCATCATCACTCGTTTGTACGTATTTAATCTGATGGACCTTTGTCAGAGGAGACGGTAGGACGTAACATTTTGCCACGGAGTCCTAGAATCGTGTGTCTTAGTATCCGGCCTCATGTTGAGCGAGAATAAAAACAACTTACAATGCCGAACACAACCACGCCGCGATCGAATGCCACAGCAAACTCCTGGCCAGCAGAGTCCCACACAATCTTCTTACCCTCTCCATTGCTCCATTTGCCTTCCTTGACGGTCTCTAATACATCTCGTCCAAAGTTCAAAACGCCAGCTTTCTTGCCAGTCACTAAGTTCCAGAGCCTCATACACTTTTCACCCTTCCCAACACTCAACATAAGCTTCATACTGGGGTGTACCGCAAAGTCATTGATCCCCGCGGGAGCTGCACCTGCTGGGGCGGTGTCACCACTCGGCCGCCCCACAGCTTTTGGTCGTGGCGCCTTGATCGTAGATACAACCGACAAGTCCCTCGTTCTTGTCACAGATATCGTATTATCCTCGGCCGAAGCTAGCAATTTGGACCTTGTGGGGAAATACAGCGCGGAGATGCTGGACGAATGATGGAGCAGCGACCCCAGTTCGCGATTCTTCGGGTTTTCAAGGATTTTGTTTCCCGCAAGGGTCGGGACGGAAGGGAAGCTATCGTTTGTCGGTGTAGTGGTGGCGGAGAGGGTGTATAGGTTGATACGTTCATCAGTCCCACCGCTGGCGAGGATTACGTTTTGCGCCTTGGAGGAATCATCGGCGATGGGACTGAGAGCAAGGCAGCGGATTGCTGAGGCATGTGCATGGAAGAGAAAGGTATCAACGAATTGAACTCCCCCCTCCTTCTCGGTTGTGGTGTGCAGGGAGCTCTGAGGGATTGTCGCCGCAATGCCATGGAGAACCCGTTCGTATGAGCCTGTCACGATCTGGATTGTGATCTCATCTCTCGATGCAGGAGCTAGTGCCTCAGCTGTTTGTTTTTGGGATTTCCGGGGTTCTGCATCCGCTCGGGCCGTAGCCTCTTCCCTCTTTCGTTTCGCCATTTGGATAGCAAATTGGGCTCTGTTTAATCAAAAAGGACCAATCCCTCCTGGAGCTGTACACACGGGAAGCTTTTACCTAGAAAATTTTGGGAGCGTTCCAAGGGTGCCGGGTATCGGAGGAATAAAGATCCGGCGCGCTTGTCCGCGACCCGTTGTTTCGCCCCCCAGCCGTGTCACTCCCTGCGGGAACCAGGCGGCAAAGTACGGAGGACGGAGCACGGAGCACGGAGGGTACGGGCTCCAACACAAGACTTTTACGCCGTACAATCTTTTATGGCTGGGCTGTGAACCAAGGACTGGGCACCGCACGCTTCTCTGGCACGCACAGCACGCAATCCCGTCCTGCAACGCTTGGTTTCTCCCCTCGCTGAGACCACCCAACTCTCCTCAACCACCACCACCTGCACAGACTAAGTTGGATGTATCAGCCACAGACCCCCCTACGACGCTTTTCACCCTCCCCCAAAAGATCAAAAGTCATCGCCTGATTTGCCTAGAATTATTCCACCCCCAAAAAAATTTGTGACTCCTTTCCACACTTTTCATCAAATTACACCACAACCACTTCCTTTCCATCAATTCTGAGCGATTTTTCTGGGTTAAATGTCCTCAGAATAATTGTTCCTAATTTTTTTTCCGTGTAAATCGGATGTGGTTTGGCCGAGATTGACTCGATGCTCCGCGACGAGCTGCTCAAGGCCAAGAACGATGAGATCGAGTGCGTTTTAATTCTCCCAGTTCACATAGTCTTTCTCTCCGTGCCTTTTTGAGTAAAACTAATCGCTCCCTGAAATTTTTAGGCGTTGCGTGCAGTCGCGGAAGCGCAAACTGAGCGAACTGTACTTTGCGACCGTCGCCTGTCTTGGTACCAAGATCTCTCTCCAGAGCGAGCAGTATCGACGCCAGGAGGCTGCCTTTCTCGACGCGAATGAGATAACAAAGTATGTGCTGTCAATCACTACACCCAATTGCCATTCATTTGATCTTGCTTTAACGCGTGTCCTTTTACTAACTCGGGTGGTTAGAGGGCGATTCTATGACCAAGGCACGCTTCCGCTGCGGCCTAATGTCGCGACTGCCCATGCAGAAGTACCGAGCGACCACACCGTCCGCCACGCGCCCAGGCAACATGGCCCCGATGGTCAAAGCGAAAGCCGCAACCTCTCTCCGGTTGAAGGCGCGCCATCGGGTGTAAATGGACCTGACACGCCGGATAAACTAGGCAAGGAAGTTGTTGCTGCTTACCCTCGCGTCGACCTTGCACAGGCTATCACCACACCCAAGCTTCAACCAGGTGTTTCCTCCTTGCAGTCGCTAGGTCGGCCACCAAAGCTGGATGGTGTGCATTCAGGCACATTAAAGGAATCCGCCGCCTCGCCTCCTCAACCTCCTCAGTTCTATCCCTCCCCACTTTCATCCCAAAAGCAGGCTCCTTCCGACTCCGCCAACGCCTCTCCTGAAGACAACCAGACGCCTCCCACGCAGACCGCTATATCAGAAGCGCAAAAGCCGCGCTCAACGTCTATCGCTCTCCCTCAAGATGCTGCACCCTCGTCCCCAGTCTCCACGGGTCAGTCTTCTGTCCATACTTCTGCGACAGATAGATCCCCCGCCTCAACCTCGACGGAAGAGTCTATCACGTACCAAGAAGCAACCGCTAAATTTCGCGAAGAACCCTTGTCGCAGACATCAGGATACGAAGTAGCCATCACCAGCAAGGTTCCTTCCACACCAGATGAGCAATTGAAGTTTGAAGCTGCCATGTCCAATGCTTCTATTACGCCAAAACCACGCCACGACGAGGTCCGCCAAGAGCAGCTCTCGACGAACGTATCGCCAATTGGTGCTGCTTCGAACATCGTCTCAAACCAAGCAGGTGAAAATGCTGCCGTGCTCACTCCGTCTGAGACTCCCGTTGCACAGAGAGCTGTCTCGGAGTTGGTCGAGCCTGCCCTTTCTACTGCTTCCGAGACGCTGAAGAAATCGCCCTCGGTCACTAGCGCTCCAGAACCAATTTCCCGACCCGAGCGTATGACAACTAGAGTATCGTCGGGTGCGATCCGACACAAATCGGTTTCCGAGATTCTGGGAGAAACGCCGCGATCTCCAGCCTCTCCTACGGATAGATCACCCAGTGATAAACTGTCCCGTGAGAGGACCGCATCTCCACGATCACAGGTATCTACCACGGAGTCTCAGCTACAGATGAAGGAGAGGCGGGATCGAAAGGGACGAAGCAAGCTCTCGACGGTTGTGTTCCCAAAACCGGCATCCCCGGAGAAACAGAAACTGCTCACCTTATCTAGCCAAACTGATGCGCCCAGCGCTAATGACCAGGATGACTACCTCTATCTCCTTTTTCTTGTTAAGGCTTACTTCCCTCCAAGGGGCATGCATCTTTCCACACTTATCGCGACCGCGCACAAGACCCTAAGTACTGCGAATCACATGACAGATTATGCAGAGCAGGCGAATACCCGAACGCTAAAACGTCTGTACCAACTTCAGCATTCGGGTAGGTGGCCTCTTCGACAGCTGCAGCGTTCTCCGGAGCCGCCCCGCTCGGCAGCCCATTGGGACATATTTCTTGACCATGTGAAATGGATGCGGATGGACTTTAGAGAAGAAAGGAAGTGGAAGATCGCCGCCGCAAAGAATTGTGCCGATTGGTGCGCAGAGTACGTTGCGAGCAGTGAGGAAGACCGTACGACACTGCGGATTAAAGTGCGACCACAACCAACAGACACCGAAATCGCGTCGAAAGCAGCGCCCCCAGCAGAAGAGCATCCTACACCGGATCTTATACCGTGTGCTGATGATGACTCCGTGAGTGATGGGTTCAACGACGAGTTTCAACCTGACTTGGACTATGGCGTCGTCCCGGCTGCAGTATTTTCACTTCCCTCTGACGAGTTTACGTTCCGCATGGAAAAGACGGTGGCAGCGGAAAAGATTCTTGATGAACTTCCCCTTTATACGCCCGCTAGGATTCTTCCTGGAACAAACAAACCCTCCTTCGAAGAATCGCCAGACGCAGTATGGAAAAAGGAAATAGCCCCTGTGTCCAAGTGGATCGATGGCAAAATCCGTTTTACTGGGGAAGGCCCGCCGCGAAAGAAGAGCAGATATGACTATGATGCGTCTGACGATGAAGATGGCCCGGACAATTCTGTTGACATGACGCCAGAGAAAAATGATGTGGCACTTTTCCAGCCCGAAAATAAGCCTATTCGCGATCGTGTCCATCCGAGCCACTGTTTCCGTCCACCGACAGAATACCCAATGCCGTCGGTCGGCTTTTACGAGTCTCGACAATCCTCTCAGTGGACATGCGCCGAGGACGACGAATTACGTAGGCTTGTTCGAGAATATTCGTACAACTGGTCACTCATCTCAAGCTGCATGGGTTCACATTCAAAATTTTCTTCTGGAGCCGAAAGACGAACTCCCTGGGAATGCTTCGAGAGATGGATTGGCTTTGAAGGGCTTCCTGCCGATATGGCAAAGACTCCTTATTTCCGAGCGTACACCGCAAGACTGGAAGCTGCACAGAGAACTGTTCTGGCTCAGCAACAGGCTGCTCAACAACAACAACAGCAGCAGCATCAGCAGCAGCAGCAGAATGGCAATAACAACCCAACACCCCAGGCATTTATTCGCAGGCGAACAACTCAACCTATGAGAGTGGAGCGAAAGCGATCCTCGCGACACCTAACCCTTCTTGCTGGTATGAGAAAACTTACTCAGAAACGAGAGGCTGCGCTTCAAAAGCAGCAACATGGTGCGTATCACTCAAATCCATTGTCATGATGTGAGCTAACACAGGACTTCTAGGTGCACATCTTGCATCCTTGCGGAAAGCCAACGAATCAAATCAACCGCGGCCTCCCATTTCTACACCAGCAGAGTTTAGCCGAATGAAGTTTGAGCGAGAGCTTAAATACCAAGAAAAGCAAGAGCAATATCGGCAGCAAATTCTTGCTCATCAGCGGGTACGGTTATGTCATATTTCTTGTGCAGAAGCACCTGGAACTAACTCGCTGATAGGCTGCTTTGGCTCAACGGGTTGCGCAGCAGCAACAGCAAAATTCGAACCAACAGCCTCTTCTTAATGGTATCCCACGCAGCTCCTCCGCAGTCTCAGCAAGCAGTGGAATGCAAGGTGTGCCGGCTGGGACTCCAAACGGACTTCCGAATGGTATCCCCACAAATAGTGGTATAAATCAGGCAAGGCCCCATACAGCCATGCAGGGAATGCCAAACGGGACACCTGGAAGTACACCTATGCCACCAGGTGGAATGCCGCTGAAGATGATACCCCAACCCGGGCTCCAGCCAACGATGAATGCCCGTCCTGGGATGCCCTTATCATCAAATTCAGATAGCGCTCGCATTATCCGTGAAGCAAACCGTGTTCAAGAGCAACAGCGTCTTGTGCAGTCCCGGCAGCAGCAGCACCAGTTCCATAACCCACAGCCGTTTGTGCAACAAGTTCCACACTCGTCTCCCAATATGACCATCCCAAGTGTCAATTCGGCGCCGGCCAATGGCTCGATGATGGGTGCCTTTCAGGCTGTGAGTGGCGTTAGCAGCCCTTCTTTTCATGCACCAGCTCTTTCTCAAGGTGTCTCTACCGCTTCCCCTCGTATGAATCATCCGACTCCGCTCTCTACCAATAACCAAGCTATGCCCACTGTCAGCAGCATCCAAAATTCAATTCAACGGAGCCATCCAAATATGACAGCCGAACAGGCGAACAAGCTTGCCAATGAGCGACTGCAACAGTATCATCAGCAGCAGCAGCGAATCTCACAAGCCGCACTGAATGCAGCAGCGGGTAATATTGGTGCCATGCCTGCAGGGTTCCCGATCCCGCATGACACCAATAGTGTGCAGCAGCAGCCATTACCGCCATCGAATGGGGTTCCCAGTAGTGCTCCCCCGCTACAGCTCCCTCAAACTCAAGGACACTCCCCACTCATGCGCGTTCAACAGCCCAGCCAACCGAATCGCCTAGGTGTCACAAACTCGCCAGCGATGAATGGCATCGTCCTTCAACCAAGCCGATCCGCTACCCCGCAAAATCACCGCACCGGAAGTGGCCAGAGCGTCCCTCCGGGAGTTCAGGTTCCTTCGGTTCAAGCTCCCGGGCAAAAGAGTAGTCCACGGGCTCCCCAGGCGCAAATTTCCAGCGGATGAATTTACACCCTGTCCTTTCCCTTTTCTACATGTTAGAGTCTTTTTCTTTTACCACATATACGTTGATGAACAATATTAATTGATGTCTCTTCACGGTGATGGTAACCCGGAGGCCTCACATTATGTACGGTTACGTTGCTTTCTGCCCTCTTCACTATTGTTTTAACTCACGACCCTCCCAATTGATTTTCTTTTAACGTACTTCTTTACTCTTTGTGGGGCCTTTGGTCCTCTGAGGGTGCTTTATTTCCATGAAAGCATGATCAGGTCTGCTTTCCTCCTTGTTTACTCCCTCACAACGCATATGTATTTGTATCGATAGATGGATGCATCATCGGCTTAGCCATGCCGGAGCCCCCGGTATTAGGGTATGCAGTGGGTTAAAGGTATAAATGTAGATAATCACCCAGGATGGCTATCCCTGATTTCTAGCACATATTAAGTCTGTCCTGGCTGAATGCCGCCTAAAGAATTCTTTGGATGCTTTTTTCGTCCAGGGCAATCCCAGCGAGGGATCATCCACGTGATCCATGGTGTGGAGTATCACGTGGCTTAAGCGCTTAGCGCGGCTAAAGCTCTCCGCCACCCGCGTTCGCCTGGCGCAGGATTAAAGCTGCATCGGACGGAGGAGGCCGCCAATTTAACGAATGCACCTGCAGACCCGATATTTCAACATGTCAGATCATCGACTGCCCTCATCTTCGACCGCACCCAGTTCTAAGCCCTTCTCTATCTCGTTTGCTTCCAAAACATCTACCGCCCCGCCACCGGCCCCGTCCATCTCACTTCCCCGACGCTCCAACGCCCCCACACCCAAATCTAGCACGCCCCGTCCTGGTTTCCACGATCATGATTCAGACGCGTCAGATGCGGAGCCTGGGGAGCCCACTCACGAAGAAGTCACCGGCTTTGACCAGTCTACCGGCGGCGCGATAAGTAAGCATGCGCGCGAAAGCAAGGAAAAGGAACCGCTGGTGATCAAGGTTGATAAGAGGAATGGGTGGCGGGAGAGATTACTGGGTTCCACAAGAGCGAAGAAGAGTTGGCTTCCCGAGGAGGTGAGGATGCAGAGGGAGGCGGAGAGGGAGGCTAAACCACAGGAAGTGACGGTTGAGGCAGCAGGGCCAAGTACGAAGTTTGGCCTGAGTTATGCTTCAGCCCCGGATGAAAAGGCTACAGGTGCGGCCACGGAGATACAGGAGGATACCGCTATGGAAATTGATACCGAAGCGCCTGTTGAAAAGAAGGCTTTGTCACACGATGAGTTGGCTTTACGAGCTTTGATTTCCGAAAGTAAAGGCGAGACTGAACAGAAATCAGACCTAGTTATTCAGTCTCGAGGTGGATCCTATAACGCTCGTTCCGAATACGACGAGACAAGGTCCTTCCGCGACGATGTGGCTCATCGTCCAGATTCCGCAACCTTGGCAGGCTACGCCGCCGTGCCCGTCGAACAATTCGGTGCCGCTTTACTCCGTGGAATGGGTTGGAAGGAAGGACAGCCCGTTGGACGAGGAAAGTATAGTGATTCCACGTCTCAACGAAAAAATACAAGTCTCGCGCCGCGTATTCCTGAGCGCAGACCGGGATACCTTGGCATCGGCGCCAAAGATCTATCGGGCAAAGCTGGGGCTGCGGAACTTGAGCTCGGTGCCTGGGGGAAAGCAGCTATGCGCAACGGCAAGCCCGGCGAAGGCCTGTATACTCCCGTGTTGATGAAGAGTAAGAAGACTGGAAAAATGATTACAGAGGAGGAATTTAAGAAAATCACTAAAGAACAAGAAAGAGAGAAGCAGAGGAGGGAGAAAGAAGACGAATGGAAGGAAAGGCGGGACAGAAATTTGACCAAAAATGGAAGACGGTACGACGCCAGCGACGATGACAGGGATTCAAGAGAATCTTCATCCAGGAGAAATGGTCGTGATCGATCACGCTCGTCAGACAGAGATAGGGCAAGAGATCGAGACAGCAGGCGGAGGAGAAGGTATGATGATGACTATGATGATCGAGACAGAGACAGTTATGATAGCGAGAAAAGGAGGAAAGATGACCGGCGCTATAGAGATCGAGACTCACCGCGTGACCGGGTTGAAGATAGCAAAAGGGACAGAGACCGAGAAAGAGACAAAGATCGCGATAAGGATAGGGATAAGGATCGGGATAGGGATAAATACAGCGACAGAGAAAGAGATAGGGGTAGGGGTCGGTACAGGGAGAGGGAGCGGGAGAAGGGCCGGGAAAAAGAGCGACGAAGAGATTACCGGTAATCCGTCATCAAAAGTAACGGGTTCGCATTGTGTGCATTGGCCAAGTTTAAATGTTGTTTGATGTGCTTTTCACCGTTGAATAGACCGTATGGAACCCTCGTCGCAGAATTGGATATAGTTTAAGGTATGGATCTTTTAATAGAACTAACCTCTCTAGAGGTTGATGATTCAATCATGGACCAAAAAATTAATGGCATGGCGTGGGTCTCCGCGGGAATCATGGAAATTCACATATCAAACTTTTGAGCGGCATATATAACTCTAGGTTAGCCATCCACGTTCTCATCCGAGAATCAACTCCAAAGCGCCCTATCTCAAATGACAGTGTTTCCCAATCCGGCACCACAAGCAAACGTATAGAAAACATATTTAAGAACCGACCATAATTACATCCTTCCCGCCAGCAAACGCATCTCCATTCTGGTCACCATCGGCTATGTCAACGTCAATCTCCATGCCTTCCATTTCCCCTAACACCCACTCCACCAAGTAACTCTCATCAACGAGCTCTTCAACACGCTTATAATGTCTTTCTGTATATGCCGACAACGCATGTAGAATGTCCTTTAGCTCTGCTTCCTTTGCTCCCTTCCCACGAGCGGGCATAGGATTTGGGCGGGAAGCTAATTCGACAAAGGTGGATGGTGGGTAAGACTTGAATAGGGCAAAAAGTAACCGCTGCGATACGCGCGATGTGCGAGCGTTTGTATTCCAATCCCTGATTCGAAGGAGAAGAAGGTACAAATGATCCAGAGAAAGAGATTGGATAACAGTATCGATGTCCGGGTTTCCAGTGAGTGTTTGGGAGGATGTAGGCTCGGTATCCATAGCGGTCGTGAACAAGGACAAGAGTCGTGCCGGATGGTTCAGCTGAAGAGCCAGAGTGATGGCTTCGCGGTAGGCACCGGCGTGGATGTAATTCTGCAACTGCTGATCCTGTTCTATGCGCGCAGAGTTTGCAGAGACAGCAGCAGAAAGAGTAGTGGAAGTTGTATCTTTCCAGAACGTTACTGTCGAATCTGCTGCACCGGAAATCAGGGAGAAATCGGGTTCTAGTTTGTTCGAAGATGGGGAATTTGGGCTTGCAGAAGGCGGGAATGGAGTTGCCAGAGCCCACACACGATCTGTATGGTTGTCTAAGGTCGTTTCTACTTCTCCCGAATACGGTGACCAAATTTTGACCAGGCCATCCCCAGCAGCGGATGCAACAAGCGGGTGAACTTGGGCCGCGCCACGAGAGGATATGTCTTCATCAACACTCGATATTCGCGGAGGAGACAACCAAAGAACCTTTAACACACTATTAGAATGTCCCTCGAAAGTCAGCAGGCAGCTGTAATCCGAAAGGTTCCATAGTTTAATCGTCTTATCTCCAGACCCAGTCGCGACAAGACCTCGACTCGTGCTAGCGGCAGATTTGGTATTAATAAGGGGCGTGTCTTTGGGGGCGAAACGAATTGACCACACGCCTCTTTTGTGTCCCCGAAGGATACCTAAAACTGAACCGTCCTCAAGCGACCAGATTTTAGCAGTACGATCCTGGGATGCAGACGCAAAGAGTGTAGCGTTGTGGTTAACATCAAGAGCATTGATGTCCTTATCGTGTGCCTTTCTTGTGTAAACCGCTTTTGGACGGGATGATTCAGCATTTAACTTTCCAGTATCCCATCGTTTGATCGTTCGATCTTGAGATCCTGTCACTAAAAATGCCGGAGGATGATTAAGGGGGTCTCTGAATGCTGCAGAATCTTCTGGTGGTGGAGATCGAGAAAGTGCAATGGCGCCCAATGATTCAGCATGCCCAGTAAAGGTTGCAAAGCAAGTATAGGAGTGTGAAGCTGGATCTATACGCCAAAGCTTCGCAGAGTTGTCTTTTGCACCAGTGACGAGCCAGTGCCCTGACCAATCGACGTCGATGCAAATGATGATATCATCATGGCCTTCCAAGCGGGCAACATCAGCGCCAAAGTAATTTTGCTCTTTGGTGGCTTCAGTAGGCTTTGTGGAGACAATCCGTATGTATTCGGAATTGGTTGCCATCGCCAGCAGTGAGCGCTCCGGGCCAACACAGGCTAAATCGATAACCTCGTCATCATTTCCAGCGATAGTACGGGTAACAGGAAGTGCATCGGTTTTAGTTCCTAGTGTAAAGGCGGATAGAGCTGCTAGGGAGTGGAATTTCAAGGTTTGGTCGACATGGACTGTCAGGATGGATGGAAGCGCTGGATAATATTCAACCGCGACAATTCCCTCTTGCTCTGAGGCAGCTTCTTGATCGTGCGTGACTTCACTGCCCCGGCTCGGATCCCATATCCTCAGCCGACCATTTTCACCACCGGTATAACATAAGAAGCCCTCATGTAAGAAACCGGCAGCTTCGACACTTTCAAGTACCGGGATGATCCGCTTGACTTCCCATGTGCTAGCATCCCACGTTATAATAGTCTTATCTCTACTACCCGACAACAATGTATTGGTCGATGCGGAAAACGATAAGCCACGTACAACGGAAACATGGGACTCCAGCGAAGCGATGCCTTTTCTCTTGAAGAGGTCCCATACCCGAATCTTTCCATCCTCGCTTCCCGACGCAAGACGGAACCTTGCTGTTACCTCTGACTGCTCTGTCGACTCCTCTAATGGGATAAACTCAGGGTTTGAGTTCTTTTGCTTATTCTTCCGCTTTTTTCCATCCTTGCGATTGTCTCCATTTATGGCGGAAGACTCAAAAAAGCAAAGGGCGGAGACAACACCTCCATGGCCGTGGAAGGTATGTGTTGCGTAGCCCCTCTTAATATCCCAAACTTTGATCGAGCCGTCAGCGCTGCCCGTAGCAAGTAATGATCCAGTGGAATCAATGGCCGTCGTCACAACAGGAGAGGTATGCGGTTTGAGTGACCGTAAGAGTTCAGGTTGTATGAAGGTAGAGTCTTGCGATCGTGGAAGGGAGAATATTCGCATAGCCAAGGATCGAGAGCATATTGCTAGGTGTGATGCGGACGGCGTTACTGTGGGTAGTTAGAATAAGATACTTAATGAAAGAAAGAAACTCGTACTCGATATGCTAGTGATTGGTTCTCCATCCTTCATTCACTTGTTAGCTAGGCGGACTTTGATAAGCGGGATATAATAATTAAGGTAAACGCACTCCCTCAATACTGGCAAGCTGCTCGCCTGTCTCTAAATCAGTTATAAGGACATCCTCTCCGACGCATGACGCTAATAACCGCCCACTTTCATCGAGCGAAAGACTTCCGCCGGTGAAAATGGGACGGATAGCCCTGGAAGCTTCGAAAGTAGTCTTAACGCTGATCTTCGACATTGGTGGTAGGAACAGGGTGAGAAATCATATATCCATGGATAAATTTCTAATCTAAACAGCCTGTACTCCTTGAATCGATCGCGGGACAATAGAGCCGGGAACGCGATATGCCAGGATTTGCGACAGCGATCTCGAAAAGTAAAATACAGAGCGAAATTTTGGATTGTAACGGTCATACAGCACCGTTAAATTACAGCAGCGGGATTAAGCGGTGGCCTGTGCGTTTAGCCGCGATAGGCGCTGCTGAGCCACGTGTCATGTGATATCAGCTCTCGCCTTCTCCGCAGTCGTCATAGCACGGATTCGGCAAGCATGGCGATCCCGTTCGACGACGTGCTGAACGCGCACTATGATGTCTGAGAGCCAGATTGTGCAGACCCTTTTAATTCCCCTGCATCCTGCTTTTCCATCCAGGCTTTTGCTTCCATTGCGCTGTTAAGATGGGGCGGCGAGGATATTTGACCGTCCTGGCATTGGTATGGTTAGATTTTTCTCCTTTTTCCCGGGGAGAACAGATAAAATCCTGCTGTACTTTCATGAGAGTTCAGTCGAACGGCTTGTTGCCGCAAGCAGCTCATTCTATCCCTTGACATTACAGGGTTACCCACGTTTTTATAACCCCATATATGCGGCTGTCTCCTTAAATTTCCAGGGCTAACATTTACAGGGCCGGTCGCCCTATGATCTACCGGAAGCACCGCCCGATGGACACAGGTCCACTGCCAGCCCACTCCGGAGTACACATCCGGAAGACTATGTGCAAAGGTATGATAGTCGTGGGCATCCAAGGAATCCCGAGTCAAAGGCTTCAGCAAAGCAACATCGGAGAGCGAAGAACGACATTTTATCAACTATGGGGATTGTGGTCAGCGGCAAAAATAAGAAACCCGCAACTGCGAAGGAGAGAGAAAACGCTGCGCTCCTCGAAAAGGAAAACAGGTATGGCATATCTATAGGCACTCTGGATCAGATTTTCACGTTTATCGCGTCCTGGTGGACATCATCGTTGTCCTCACGAATACAGGTATGTTTGCTTACAGGTGACACCTGTTACTGAAGCTAACATGTGTCCGAAACCCAGACATTCAAATACTACAATCAAGCGACTCTAATCCAAATTATGAGTTTCGAGCAAAGACGGGGGAGTTTGGTCGGATGCTATTTTTCTGGGATGCCAGCCTGGGTCTGTTCGTTTGCCTTGGTCTTCTGCCGTGCGAATTACTTGGACTCCTGTCTGGAGTGGACCCATGCAAAGGTGGCTTCTTTGGTCCAAAGCAAACGTCTTCGATGCATAATACGTGGGTGCTTCAAGGCCGCCAAATTTGGGTATGTTAGAAAAGCCCGATACTTAATTACTCTCTACTTTTGCTGACTATTCTTAGTGTCTCATTCATCATTTTGGGAATAGTTGGTCAAACATACATGTTTTCTATGCTGCAGACACTTCAACTTGTACCTACATTTGCTATACCCTCCCTCCGATCTTTCCTACCATTTGGTGAATATTCGCTCCTGCAGCTACCGCCCCTCCCGAGAATTACGTCTGTACGGGAAGTTGGAGGTTTCCTCGCACATCTTGTTTTCTCTCCATATATCCTAGCGTCCCTTCTCCCAAGTATCCGGTCTGTGCTTGAAACGAGAATCTATTACTTGCTCCGGCGAAGGCTGCAACAAACAGATCAGCCGGACAAACTTTCTATCCACGTCGCGGCGGAATGCGGTTTGATCGACTGGATTATGCCTAGGCTGGGGAAAAGGTCGGGAGAAGAGATCAAACGCAGTCAACTAAGCCTGACTG